CTGTTTACGACACAAGGAGAATAAGAACAATCAACCGGAAGCCGAAGTTGAACCTTCGATCCAGGTTGCTTGCTTGGAAGTCTGATTGCTTACCTTGTCTGTTACCTCTTTCGGCAAATCTCCTAACTCAGTGACTTGGGGGACTCCTACTATAGGGTTTTGTATCGTACTTGACCAAGCCCGAAACTACAAGTAAGCTTCAAGTGAAATTGATACATTACCTTGTGCATCTTCTTCAGTTAAAGATACCACCCCTGGATGGAGGAAAAGTACTTCTAGAGAAGATGCCACATCTATGTATGAGATAGATAAGGCAAGTGAAAATGATACCACACTTCGGTACTTAGAAGTTTCGTGATTACTCAATGGCTTGGATCTTGTAAGTCCCTAACCGAGGAACTTCCCTCACTCGGGAACTTAGGGGAGCACTCTTTGTACCATACTTGACCAATCCCGAAACTACTGAGCACCGCTCAACGTTATACCATCAAGGACCCATAAGAGATTCCCTCCAACCAAGAGGCCAATCACAGCGTGACACGTGTCGCCATCAGAAGCCAATCATAGCATGACACGTGTCAACATCAGAAGCTAATCACAACACGACACGTGTCAATGTCAGAATGAAACTAGAAACTCTCTTCTATAAATAAAGATCATTCTCTCACATATTTCCTAATGTTATTTGTACTAAATCATTCACTAGTACTCACTAAAGGAGAGCTTGAACCTATGTACTTGTGTAAACCTTTCACAATTAATGAGAACTCCTCTACTCCGTGGACGTAGCCAATCTGGGTGAACCACGTACATCTTGTGTTTGCTTCCCTGTCCCTATCCATTTACATACTTATCCACGCTAGTGACTGGAGCAATCTAGCGAAGGTCACAAACTTAACACTTTCTGTTGTACCAGAGTCCTCACTGATTTTGTGCATCAACAACAACTGTGCAAACCTAATTGAAAACAATGTGGATGCACTGGCTGCAATGATTTCTGAAATCAACCTTGTATCTGACCACGCTGATTGGTGGATAGATACCGGTGCGACTCGCCATGTTTGTGGTGACAGAAATATGTTCTCTTCATACCAAAAAATCATGCATCCGCATCTGTTGTGGCTAGAATAGGGAAGTGTGTTATGAAATTCACTTCTGGAAAGGAATTAACCCTTATTGACATGTTGCATGTCCTCGATATAAGGAAGAATCTTGTTTTTGGTCCTATCCTTAGTAATAAGGGATTCAAACTAGTTTTTGAGTCCAATAAGTTTATATTAACTAAAGAGGGAATGTTTGTGGGAAAGGGTTACCTTGCTGATGGATTATTCAAACTCAATGTACTTGCTAATGCTATGAATGAAATAAATAATGCTCCTGCTTATATTGTTGATTCTTCTAATTTATGGCATTCTAGATTAGGACATTTAAATTTCCATTCTCTTTTCAGAATGCATAATTTAGGTTTGCTACCCAAAATTGATTATCTAGATAATGTTAAATGTGAAACTTGTACATAATCGAAATTTGCAAGTCAAAGCTTTAAATCAGAGCATGAAAAATCCAATGATTTGTTAGATTTAATTCATAGTGACTTGTGTGATTTTAGACCATATTCAACTCGTAGTGGAAAGAACTATTATGTAACATATATAGATGATTTCAGTAAGTATTGTTATATTTATTTACTTCATAGCAAAGTTGAGACCTTGGATATGTTTAAGACATATAAGGCAAAAGTTGAAAATCAACTTAACAAGAAGATTAAAGTCTTAAGGTCCGATAGGGGAGGAGAATATGAGTCTCATGCTTTTGCTGAATTTTGTGCCACACATGGCATAATTCATCAAACAACAGCCCCCTATACGCCACAACAAAATGGTGTTGCCGAACGGAAAAATAGGACTTTTAAAGACATGATCAATTCTATGTTGAATGGTTTCGGGCTTCCACACAATTTGTGGGGCGAAGCTTTACTTACTGCAAATAAAATTTTGAATCGAATTCCGCCTAAAACGAGAAAGGAGTCACCATATGAATTATGGAAAGGAAGAACTCCAATGTTTAAATTGCTTAAAGTGTGGGGTTGCCTTGCAAAAGTACAAGTTCCATTGCCAAAGAGAACAAAATTAGGGCCTAAAACTATAGATTGTGTTTTTATTGGTTTTGCATCTAATAGTTCAACTTATATTTTTGAGGATATATTTCCATACAAAATAGGCAAGTCTAATTTATTGAAAAAGAGATTACATGATGATGTATCTGAGGTTACTAACGAACCTAGAGAACATGATGATGGTTCATCCTTGTCTAGAGTTCAAGAAGAAGAAAAACTTGAACCTAGAAGTTGTAAAAGGACAAAAATTTGAAAGGACTTTGGGCCTGATTTTGTGACCTTATTAACCAAGACAGAACCTCAATCATTCAAGGAGGTGATGTCCACTCCTGAATCTCCATTTTGGAAGGATGCAGTTAATAGTGAGATAGATTCCATTATACAAAATCATACATAGGAATTAGTCGATTTGCCCCCTGGCAATAAGCCAATTGGGTACAAATGGATCTTTAAGAAGAAATTAAAACCAGATGGTACAATTGACAAAATATAAGGCTCGTTTGGTAGCTAAAGGATACCGTCAAAAACATGGTTTTGATTTATTTGATACATACTCACATGTAAGTATAACATGGAAATACATCAAATGGATGTAAAGACTGCGTTCTTAAATGGAGACTTAGATAAGGAAATATATATGGAACAACCCGAGGGGTTTGTAGTTAAAGGTAAAGAACACAAAGTGTGTAAACTTGTGAAATCGCTATATGGGCTTAAACAGGCTCCAAGCAATGGCATGAAAAATTTGACCATGTTATGATCATACACGGTTTTAAGATAAATGAGTGTGATTAGTGTGTCTACACAAAAACTCAAAATAATGCTTGCATTATGTTGTGTTTATATGTAGATGATATGCTTATAATGGGAACTAACAAAGAGATAATAAATTGGACCAAGAAGATGTTGAAATCAAGTTTCGATATGAAAGATCTTGGACTAGCTGATGTGATTCTTGGTGCAAAAATAAAAAGAAACCAAGAAGGATATATTCTTACACAGTCCCATTATATAGAAGCTACACTTAGGAAATATGGTCATTTGGAAAGTAAAGATGCAATTACTCATTTTGATGCCAATAGCAAACTTAAGAAAAATAGAGGTGATGCTATATCTCAACGTGAATACTCACAAGTTATTGGAAGCCTTATGTACATTATGAATTGTACAAGGCCTAATATAGCATACTCCGTGAGTTGACTGAGTAGATATACATGCAATCCTGGGCATGATCATTGGGAAGCTTTAATTCGAGTTTTGACATACTTAAAGCATACAATGAATTATGGATTGCATTATACGAGGTATCCTCTTGTGCTTGAAGGATTTACTGATGCGAATTGGATATCGGATAGTACTGATACGAAATCCACAAGTGGATATGTATTTACTTTGGGAGGAGCAACAATATCTTAGAAATCTTCCAAACAAACATGCATAGCCCGATCGACTATGGAATCGTAATTTATAGCTCTCGATATGGTTGGAGGAGAAGCTGAGTGGCTAAGAGAATTTTTGGAAAATGTTCCCATATGGCCTAAACCTGTAACGGCAATATGTATACACTGTGATAGTTTAGCTGCACAATATTGAGCTAAAAATAGTGTATACAATGGGAAGTCTAGACAAGTTAGACGAAGGCATAATACAATAAAGCAATGGCTCTCTAATGGTGTAATTTCTATTGACTATGTCAAGTCAAAAGATAATATTGCAGATTCGCTTACTAAAGGCTTATCTAGAGAGCAAGTTAAGCATACGTCGAGGGGAATGGGTTTAAAGCCAATAGAGTAAAATGAAACTGCCAAACGGAAACCTAACCTAGTTGATTGGAGATCCCATGGTCTAGGTTCAATAGGCAAATTGGTTTGGCTAGATTCAAGAAGAAACAAACTTACATACCCATTCCTATGATGGAAGAAGTGTGGTGACTGCTAATGGTATAGGATACATTAGTTTAATGATATTGGTACTTGTAAATCAAGTGGAATAGTAGCAGCCTATTCATAATCAATATCACCTATATGAGAGTAAATGTGGGGTCGTATTTATGAGAATTACATGGCTACATTCTCTAAAGCTCTCATGAATCCAGGATTTGTTCAGGACCAAAATGAACACAAATGTATGAATTTGCGATGTGTTGGTGTGACATATGTTTTGCTTATTATCTTGGTTTACTGCAGAGATGAACATTTCAAGATTTTATATTCACTACGTCATCTAGTAAATCCGATAAGTATATACTAAGGTAGGTTAAAGTCCAAAAGACACATTTCCTAATGTATGTCACATCTATTGTTTACTCTCGTGTCTCAGTTTCTCTAGGACCAAATAATCGTCTCAAAATGTGAGGTATTGTTAGAGTTTTGAGACTCTTGTCCCACATTGGAGAAAACAAGATTCCCAATGACAAAGAATGGTGTCTCGCACAATAAAAGTATTATATTACAAAATAATAGAAAGGCAGCACCTTTGCACAATAATACATATAATTTTCATTTTTTTATAGTATAGCATTTTTTTTGTTAGATGATCAATCTACACACACACACACAGATATATATAACATAGAAAATAAGCATAACTACAGATAAGGACCACCACCAAAATTGAACGGATAACAAAATTACCTTTGACATATTACCTTCTTTCCCATCTTTAATGCTATGTCATAAGTTCCTAAACTAGCAACTGCTTGAAACATGAAGAAAACCATAACAGAATACCGTACTCAGTATTATGCAAGTTCCCAAGAGTAGTCCGCCACCTCATAACCTACTGCTAATCTACAAATGTAGTTCAACCTTACCATCAAATTACACATTCACCAACCAGAAATCGAAAGACTAAATTATGGACATTCATTAAAAGGGCATATAAATAAGAAAGGGAAAAGAAACCTGAATTCTGTTTCTTGAGAAGCAAAAGGGCATAAACTAACCAACACACAAACAAATGAACATGGTACAAATCGATCAAAATCCACTTAACCTTACTCTATCATCCAGAAAAATAAATGACATATATAAATGCGATAAATCAAAAGGTAATACTGGAAGGTTTCAAATTCTTCTTCACAAATCCCTTAAGCTTTCCACTGAGTCGAAAAATGACTTGATTTCAGCACCCACTGTTTCTTTTTTAACTTCCAACCCATTTGATAAAGCCATTTGAGATTGCCCTATAGCCAAATCCCTATCAAAACCCACAAAAAAAAATCTCAATTTCCACATAAACATAACTAATAACCACATATAAGTAGGAAAATGACTAAAAGCTCAGATTTTTATCATGGTACAAATGATATATGTAAGCTTACTTGTAAACATTTTCGAGTGGAAAGCTTTTCGAATTTTCCCCCATTTAGATATAACCGGAACTTTGGCTGCAGCTAAATGACCAACACATTAGGACCAAGTAACTTTCTGTTTCGAGCCATATACACACACACACACACACACACAATATGGTCTATTAATAGACCATGCCTGCAGCTGGTTCCTTGATCAGGTGGTTGTCAAGTAATGGAGCGCCAGAGAAGGGCAGATAAAAACTGGAAGGAAGAGATTTTGGTGGTGCCAGACTACGCATTGGCCTTTGCTCTGAGTTTGGCTAGGGATTCTACGGAGAAGTGAAACATTCTCTTCTTGTGTGGGGGAGTTTCAATTCTGCCAATGAACTCATCTAAGTGTTTAAAATGGAGGCTGATAATTGGACCATGAACATCTGGAAACCACCGTTCTTGAAAACAAAAAGAGAACCAAATCATAAAACAATAAATTTCAATTCATTTACAAATCTCAAACTACAAAAGCACCAGATTTAAACAAAAGAAAACCACCCATTTCACATCTCGAAGAACTCACTAAGAAACCCTAGAAATTCCTTCAAATCAAATCCAAAAACTGAACATGAGTACCTGAATTGAATAAAAATTAAATACAATCAATTAACTGTTAACCATTTTTTCCCCAGAAAAAAAAAAACCTTTAAAACACCCCAAACGATCCCAAATTCTCAAATCCGTTCAAAGAAACTTACTATGAAACCACAGCAACTTCACAAATCCTCTTCATATCTACACCAAAAATAACGAAAAAATAAGTGCAATCAACCCAAGAAACAAAAGATTAGTAGAAACAACCCAAGAAAATCAAGTATTGGAGAAAAATTATCCATCAGCATTTCTCCTTTTTACCTGAGAACTCGAGCTGGGCTTTGAGAGAAAAGTCGAGATGTTTCATAGTTTCTCCGAGATAGAGCTTGTGGTTGCTGCGAGAGAGAGCTCGTTGTTTCTGGAAGCAAATGGAAAAAGCTCGACTTTTCCGTCCTTCTTCTTCTTTCAAGATTATAAACACGTGTAAATCTACCAACAACACGTGTTAATCAGGAGTAGCGCGACGGGCACCAACTGAGATTTTGGCAAAAAGAAAATAAGGTACAGTTTGGTACGTGAGACGAGACGGAACGGAGTAGGACGAGACGTTCCGTCCCACGTTTGGTGCCCCTAAAATAGGTGGAACGCGCTGTTCCACGAGACGAATTTTTGGTGAATTTTCGTTCCGCCTCACCCCTGTAACAACTCATTCCACATCCATGGAACACAAAATTATAACCTCTCTGTCTCCTTCTTCTTCCTCCTTGTTTCCATCCGAGGGCATCTTTGCTTCTTCTCCGTTCCGTCCCATCCTGTCCCGTCCCGTCCCGTCCCATTCCGTTCCGTACGTCCCGTCCCATCCCGTCTGCATACCAAACGATACCTAAAAGAACCAAAGCAAGGGCAAAATCGTCAGTGCACTGTGCTTATAAACAGTGTTTTAGGCTTTTTTCTATTTTAGTCTATAATATAATTTGTGTTGTAAAATTGACGGTGGGTGCAGTGGAATAAATGAAACAAGACACAAAATTTACAAGATTCTTTACAGTCAGTGTGACTGGAGTACGTCCTTGGGCCAGCAATGGTGCTTTCATTATAATTTGGAATAATAGGAGTACAAAGATAACTCTCTCTATTATCTCCTCTCCTCTTCCTCTCTTTTCTCTCTTCCTCTTTTTTTTTTTTCATCATTTCTTCCTTCCTATCTCTCTGTGAGTCTTCCCACTTTGATGTTGTGTGGGGTTTGTATTTATATAGAAAATGGGAGTAGTGTGTAGCAAGCTTCAGCAACCAAACGAAAGGGCCAATTATTTAATTATTTGAGTGGACATCCACTGTTCTACAACACTCCCCCTTGGATGGCCACAAGTTTTCGATTGACTCGTTAAAATCTTGATCTGTTTTGAATGCTCCCCCTCATGAGTATCTCCCCCTAATTTCAAATCATTTAGGCTGATCGTTGATCATTTTGCTTCAGTCTCTTAGCAAAAAGAGTTGCCGAAAAAGTTGCTTTACTTGTTGTTAACTTTCCACAAGCTTGTTCTTGAACTGGGTTGGAGGGCCTTCTGCTAGTCTTCTTCCAAAGGTCTGAATTTACTTCTTTTATTTGGAGCTAAATTTAATTCAAAGGTGGTGGACACTTGATCTTGAATCGGATGTGGCAAGTGATCTTCGGCTTTGTCGGGGATGAATCAGCACGTGTTTGTTGCGTTTGTCTCCACATGCTTCAATGTATCATTTTCACTTGCCTTACTTGCTCCCCTTGCTTAAGTAGTATTTTCCCTAGTTTTCCCCCATACATGTGTGGCATATTCTCCTGCAGTATTTGCCTTCTGATGCAGGAGTGGAATGCAACCCTTACATTTGGATGGTTCATCACTTCTTGGTGACTGAAGACCCAGCTCCAACAACAGTTGAAGATGGCTACTCGAGAGCAATACTAGGTAAGCAATCAGGAAAGGTTCTATGCAGTCGGTTCCTTACTGGGAGTTGGAGTGAAGGTTCCGACATATTGCTTTCTTTATCCTTGTCTTTGTAGGTAAGAACAAGGACAAAGGAAAAGACAAGGAGATTGCATAATATGAGATACTCTTACCCTCGTCCCTAATGATATGAGGTACTCTTGCTCTGGCATGACTTGTTTTGAAGAGGTATTCTCGAAGATGAAGAAAACTGAGTATTTCGAGATGCTTTGTTGAAGATGCATTCTCGAAGATGAGAGAAAGTTAGGAGTTTTGGATGTGTGCCTTGCCATGGACGATGAAGGTCGACATATATAGGGATTTCCCAAATAGCAGGTAGTGGTGTTGTGCCTTTACTCTTGTCAGCAACTGTGGTATAATTAGAACAGTAAGATTTACGCGTTTTCAACTTTGTCAGAGATCTTTGACAAAGTTGCACCCGATAGCAGAAAAAGCTGAGATTACGTCTGAAAAATGCCAACGAACTTTATTTAGGAAAATTTAGCTTTTGAAATTCGGAGAGCGGTGCCTCTTCGATCTCTGAACAAGTGGCTCTGCTGCCTCTTCTTTTATAGAGACATCAATTGTGTTCAAGAGTATGCTAAAAAAGTTTATGCTTGTAGAAATTTTCCCCTACTTGCACTTTTGAGATTTTATTTGACCTTTTTTTTTTCTTCATCATTTCTGAAAATAGCTTGCCTATCTAACATTTGCTTAGATTTAAGTCTTAGGAGTGATACAGATGAGCAGCGTCATAACATATGGCGTCTGTCCTTCTTATCTTCTAATGGTCCTCTTACAGTTGGGGACTTTATGATGAAGAATAACATAACCGCTACTGTGGTAGCTAGGAATCTTCTCACTCCAAAGGATAACAAAATCTTTTCAAAACGGTCTGACGAGTTGGCCGTTCAAGACTCATTGGCTCTTAGTGTTCAGTGTGCTGGCTTTATTTCTAATATAGGCTAACGCCTACTTGCTCAAACTCACCAAGTTGAATCATTGATGGCTGAGGTGGCAAGTCTTAAACAAGAGATCATAGGGCTCAAGCACGATAATAGAGTTTTACACGTGCTTGCAAATAATTACTCTATGAGCATGAAAAAAAAGCTCGACCAGATGCAGGAATCTGAAAGTCGAACTCAAAGTGATCACCAAAGGTTCGTTGCTAGATTTTGAAAGTAACTGATGTCTTCCCCTTCTGCTGTTTCGCTGAGTACTAGGGTGCCACATGATCAATCTCCAGTGCCTCCTCATTATGGGGTACTTCTGAGTAATGAGGCTTCACATGAGCAACCTTTGTAAAGACTCCATCCCGTTTGTTTGTTTTAACTCATCTGTATGCACATATCTGTAATTTCTCAAAGATATTAATAAATAAGCTTTATTTCATTCAGTGTATTGTGCCAAATACAATAAAACATGTACTTCACTAAGATGTGGTACTTCTAGAACAAACATTAATTTATCTTACCCTCACGAAGATAAATGATCTTTCTTAGTGTCTACATCATTTGAGTATTCAACTCATAATCTCTTCAATCCATATGGTTCTTTTAATATCATAGACATCATGAATAAGATTCGTGTTGGTAGAATGTTTGATATGCAGCTCGAGACAATATTTCTCTCAACACTTTATAATCTTTCTTGACTCTTTAGGAGTCGTAATTTGATATTATCAACTCTTCAGGAATTCTAATTTAATGTCATTGACTCTTGCAAGAAATTTTAGTATGTTGCAACAATATCATAATGATAGTACTCACTAAGGCAATTTATATCATCCATTGGTATAATTTATGCTTTACCCTTCGCGGGCTTACTTCAAGCAATTTGAATCCTTCAGGGATTTTCTACACTTCATGACACATTTTCCTTTGAAATTTATACAGAGCAATTTGCTCCCATGTATACTTGTGGGATTTACTTATGGAGATATGATGTGGGTGACTCACAACCCTTTGTATATAATTCTCCATTCATATGAAATCGTTTACAAAAGTATAATTAGTAACCTTGTGTCATATCATGTAAGTGTATTTCATTGTATTACAAATGCCTATATGTAACCTCATTGGTTCAACATATTTTGGCTATTCAAATATATATAGGTCCATTTTTCCATGTTCTTACAAAATTGTAATGGAATTGCCTTTCTCCATTTTTTGCCAATAATTTTGTTGACGAAAAGAACGAGACTCAATATCAACACAACTCATTGATGAATTTAGTAGCTACTTATAAAAACCAAAATTACCATTGGTTATCATCAATCCGTGATCCCATATTCTCATGTGCTTGCGCATGCATAAAAGCTTTTTATTTCTTTGGATATCCATTGTCTCTTCAAGGGCATTACATTATCTCTTCCAGGATAGTCGTAATTTAGAGAATGCGGATCATAACCTCTTCTAGAGCGTTATAGAGCTTGGATTTTAATCTCCACTTTCGGGAGTTAAGTCATTGGAACCTATATGTCTATCATGCTCCATGCATGAGACATCAACATTCCCATGTCTGCAGATTATCCTTTCTGAGACGTATATCCATGCGGCAACTGTCATGTTTCTGGCATGCAACAGTTATGCTTTGGGAATGCAATAGTTTAGTAGTGCCATATTCTTCTTCTTTCGAATGAATGAACCTTTTGAGTCTAAGGGTCTGCCATGCTTCAGGCGTGTAACAGATAAATCATTTACTACCATATTATGTTGTCCAACAGGGACATCAATTCTTGTAGGCACATTTGCAGCAAGTATATATGATTTCATCACTTTCGTTGCATCATTCAATTATTCTTACTTCATTTTCATATTGATTGCTTCGTGAATCAAAATAAGACAAATTATCTTTGTTCTTCTGGAACGGTCTTTTCTTTTCATTCTTCTGGAATGA